TTAGCGCGAAGTAATTTCGATACACGTTGGGCAAGCGGGCGTGCAAATTGGCAATGCATGCTGGGAATTGTTTTGTCTCGAGCATGGCATTCAACCGGATGGATGTATGCCGTCCGATAAACAAACTGTGGTGGACGACTCGATGTCCACCTTTTTCTCGGAAACGGAATCTGGTAAACATGTCCCTCGAGCTATGTTGGTGGATTTGGAGCCAACCGTTATCGGTATGTTGCTCGACTCACCTCGACTAGCCCGGGTCTGATGTCTTTCAGCTAATAAAATATTTTAATTAATGATTAGAGAGAAAATAATGAAATAAAAAAGATGAAGAGGGGAAGAAAACGAAGAAAAAGCGAAGTAAAAAGGGGGAAGGGGACTGCGGAAATATTCGTAATAGGTAAGAAATGTTTTGTTCCATTAAGTCGTTTACATTTCTCACGGCTGCCACAGTTGGGCCACGTCAGTACGACGATTGTGGTAACAAAATAATTTAGATGGTTTAGTGTAGGATAGAAATTATTTAAGATAAAAACAGACAAGAAAGAGAAGCAGAAGTAGAAGACGGAAAGTGAAGGAGTGGCTGAAACAAAAAGATGCTAATAAAACTTGATATTTATTGAAAATATTTTTTTTATAATCAAAAAAATTTTTTGGTCCATTAAGTCGTATGCATTCCTTACCATTACCAAAATTGGACCTCGTCAGTACAACGATTATGGTAATTAGTATAAATTTAAGTTTAATTAAAACAGTTGCGTTTTTGAAATTAGTAAAAGTGAAGTTACGGTGTGTAAGTCCGAAGTAAATTTGTTCGTAAATTCATGCGGGCGATTTTTGCAGATGAAATCAAAACCGGCAAATATAGGATGCTTTTTCATCCGGAACAGATGGTAAGCGGCAAAGAAGACGCCGCAAACAATTATGCTCGTGGGCACTATACGATCGGAAAAGAGTTCATTGATTTGGTGCTGGAGCGTACCCGGCGATTGGCGGAGAATTGCAAAGGCCTTCAG